ATCGTAAATCAAAAGTTTAATGCTAAAAAGGACACATAAGAGTTGTCTATTCTCCACTACTTACCCAACAATGCATTAAATTATTGAGGTCTACTCGGCAGTTTTGCAAAACATCACTTGTGGCTCTTAAATCAGTTAAGAATTGCAGCAAAAAATAAACTCATCGGAAGAAACATAATCCATCTGAGACCCTCACGATATGTGTCTTTAAAAAAATCTCAAATTAACCTTCTTTTTTTTGCATTCTAACATACGTAACAATAGAGGAAATAAACTTAAAAATGAAAAAAACAAAAGTAACATCTAAAAAACGAAAAGAAATTGTTTAGGATAAGAAATGGTTATAACCGATTACGTTTTCAATTTAGCTTTCTGATCGACTTTTTTCTTCCCCTTTTCTAATTATTTTTTATTCTGTAGAACACTCATTTGAATGAGAAATTCTTGTTTCATCAGTTTGTCCCGTAGTTCTTCCGTTGGTCAGTGAACAAAGAAATATGAAAGAAAATACAAATATAGAACAGGCAGATATACAGTGAAAACTTTCCCTTTATTGATCTTTGAAAAGCCTGTGCTGGACTTTTCGCTCGAAGTAAAAAAAAGGGAAGTGGAAAAAGAATAAACTGTATCATTCTAAAACAACACTGCCTTCAACCAACCGACGAGGGAACGACCGGATGAAGGAAGGGAGAACAAATTTTATTTCCTATGGGACTGCAGTGTAACTAAGCTTTACAAAACTGTGCTTCACAAGCGACAAAATTGTGCTTGGTGCCCATTCAGAAAGACGATTACTGTACGAAAATGTCTCTCAAAATTCTGCAAACATGACGACTACCAACGAAATGTTTGCTTAGTTACGAAACGGACGGACTAACAACAACAAATAATGGTGAACAACACAAATCATTTCCAAACTGTGACTTCACTGCTATGTGATTTTTGTTTTCTAATTCTTCCGCCCTAAACTTTCTGTTATAAATCATCCCGCTAACGATAAGGATGTCAATCAAATACTTAATTTCTTAAACATTACAACATCTAATAAAAAAACTAATAATTAAAATGAAATTTAAAAAAACAGTGCCCAACAAAAGAAAAGTGCACTCTTTCAACAACAGATAAATGAAACAAATCGACTGACCTGCTTCAACTCTTCCTCATTAACTGACTGACCAAGATTTGCTACAAATAACGTTGAACATGCCACATTTGGTATTCCAGCTACACCCGCAGCAGCAACAGCTTGCTGCGCTACAGTCAACTGTGCCGCAGCTTGTGATGCCACAGTTAGTTGAGCTAATGCAGCTGCGTTTGGTTGAAACATTGCTGCAGCATTTGTTGTCACCTGTGGTAGCTGAAGCCCAGCGGCTGCAGAATGGAATAAAAGCGGTGTCTGAGTAAACTGTGGTAAGGTAGACAGCGCTAATAACTGTGGTTCATTAAAAAGTTGCGTTATGTTATGAGGATCAAGACAAGCTGCCGCTGCGGTGGCAAGATCATGTGCATGTGAGGTAGGTAAGGAATTAACAAACTGTGAAGCCGTTGCAGCCTGAAGTACAGGATGCGGTAAAGCTGGTGGACCATTTGGTATTATCGGAGGAGATATCTGCTTCGGTTTTGATACCTTCGTATTACTCCGGGCCAATTCAAGTCGAATTGTTTGCGCATTATCCGGATCAAACCGAACACCCTGTAGCGCCTTACGAGCTTCGTCAGCTTCAGCCTTCGTCGAAAATGTCACAAAACCGACTGGTGAAGCTGTTTTACCATTCTTTGAGGTTATCTTCAATAGCGAGCTTTCATAGCCCGAATATGCACGAAACAGCAAATACAGTTCTCGAGGTTTAGCATCCATTGGTAAACCAGAAACGAACAGCGTACGCACCTGCGTCGATGGAACCGCGGATGCTGTTGCAGCGTTATCAACAGATTCCATTGACTGGGCGGCCGTCAGTTTGCCGTTCTCCATCGCTGGAGACGGACTTCGAGACCGTGCACGCTTCAGCCTAATATTTCTTGGTGTGTGCCCTAAGGCAGATGAATTCAATACAGTAGAGTTCACTTTGTACAGCCTGAAAAACAAAAATTTTGAGTGTTTCAAATACCCTGAGATCTGCCGGGTTTAACGTCACGTAAAAATATGACCGAATAAAGTTTTAAATGACAGAACAACGGCGAGGTAAAACAGAACAAAAAAGCAGTGAAAAACGAACCGTGATTACACTTTGACGAAAACAAGAACAGTTCACTTGAGAGCTTCGAGTATTTTATAGAAAACTGATGTTGTGTGATGGCAACAATTATAAACCCACAAACTGTCATCGTTTTGGTTGGCTCAAATAAGTGGGAAATCTTTGTAAACAATACTGCTTGTTGAAGATGAACAAAATCGAAACAGTTAAAAAGCAGAATGATTTATAAAAAGTTTTGAACAAAACTTTCAAATAACCATCTAACAATAATAATTACATTTCTCTTCACTTTCACCCGTCTCTCTAAAATTTCTACAAAAAGACGGAAAAAACAAGCAAGAATGGGAAGAAATTAGCTTAAGTAATTTTATTAAATGCAACAGTTAAGGAAAAAGAAAAAAGTGGCTTATAAATAATAAAATGTTCTCTACTAAATCGGGAAACTTTTCCAACATTTATTCGTTTCCACTTTCTATTGGAATAGCAGTTATGAAGAAAAAAAAAAAGAATCAATACTAAAAAGGCGTAACGTACAACAACAAGAACGACGTTGAAATCTTTTTTTTTTTTTGATGATGAGCCAGTTAAAACAATCAAATGGGAAGATTTAGAAATCAAAAACAAAAATAAATTCAAAAAAAAAAGAAAACAAAAATTTTTAGCAACAGCAACACGAAAACCCGATTAAAAGTGTAGTGTTTTAGCAGAGAAGCAACGTCGGTTACCTGTCATCCTCCTAAAGGTGTAAAACTAGAACAAACTGAAAACATTCAACAAACAGCAACAGAGAAGGCCTGAAAAAGCGTAGTGCGGAATCAGAACGAGAACAAACTGAAACGGCAAAGTAAACTAACGCACAGGAAAAAAAATAAGAATTGGAGGACTGTCACCAATTCATATTTGGAGTGATCCTTTGAAAAACAAAAAAAAACAGTTCTTTTTCCCCCTTTTTACCCTTCATTTCTTTGCCCGTCATGAGTGCAAAGAAAAAAAAAACAGCTAAGAAACGCGAGAAGCACAAAAAGATGAAAAGACAGTCAGAATCTGAAAGAAAAAAAAGACAGATTTGTCGATGTATTGGAGAAACCAAAAAATGCACCGAAAGTAAAAACGAGGAAACAATACTTCGATGATACCCCAAAACTAACAGAACCAAAAACTGGAACTACAAGTGGAAAAACTGTTTGATTAACTGTTAAGATCAGTTTCGATCATAATAACGACGACGATAATAACAACAATACTCACAGACGAGAACACCAGCTCCGACTTATCATGACTGCTGACGAATCTTCGATACTGGCACCAAATATGGATGAATATATACAACGATTTCAGCTAAACATCCAGCAAGACATTGCGGGTGCATTTGCAACCGCTACCATCGCTGTTGCTGCTGTCGCCGCTCTTGAGTCATACCACAGAACAGTTGACAACAGCGACTAAACCAACGGTAATGGTAGCTGTGACGACTGCAGCAGCGGTGGTAATGACGACGACAGCGACAACTAACTGACGATACATGGAAATTTAGTTGCTGTTGAAGGGTGGGAG